TGTTCTCCTTTTCTGGCGATAGATATACTAGCAGCTCCTTGTTTCGATCAAGGGACCTTTGGGTTATGAGCCCAACACGCTATCCACTGCGCCAAGCTGCTTTGACGGTATAATATGCTTTTGGCACCCGTAAGGAGGTTGTTGCTAATAGTTCGAGTCTATGTCCAGCTGACGCCTATGCACCGTCCGGGAATTGAACCCGGACCATCTGCTTGGAAGGCAGATATCCTAACCATTAGACCAACGGTGCCCAATGAAGTAACGGTAGATTAGAAGTCTCGCGACTCACTCAGCTTCAGAGAGTAACCAGGAATTTACTGAAACCGAGAGTCGAACTCGGGACCTACTGCGTGTTAGGCAGTCGTCATAACCAACTAGACCATTCCAGCTACAGGAGCTGAATCATCTCTACCCCGAAATCGCGCTGCTAGTGTTCTTTCGCACGCAATGTGCTCTAGCTTAGCGCCGGATGTGTCACCCCAAGCGACACGCCTGATTTTATAGAGGCACGCCGATCGCTACGGTCTACGCTTTGAAGAGAAAATTTTGTAGGACCTCAATTCGCAATACGCTCTCTGAGTAAGTTGGCAATTGCCTCCGCGAGCAAATGATTCTCTTTCGTTGGAGGAGCTCGAGATCTTTAGGGTCGGCGTCGCGTCCGCTTTACACTTGCTGAGACGGGTCAGTTTGGCCGAGTGGTCTAAGGCGCCAGACTCAAGTTCTGGTGGAGAGATCCTCGTGGGTTCGAATCCCACAGCTGACAAGCAATAGTCTGTACTTATATTTCTGTTCTCCTTTTCTGGCGATAGATATACTAGCAGCTCCTTGTTTCGATCAAGGGACCTTTGGGTTATGAGCCCAACACGCTATCCACTGCGCCAAGCTGCTTTGACGGTATAATATGCTTTTGGCACCCGTAAGGAGGTTGTTGCTAATAGTTCGAGTCTATGTCCAGCTGACGCCTATGCACCGTCCGGGAATTGAACCCGGACCATCTGCTTGGAAGGCAGATATCCTAACCATTAGACCAACGGTGCCCAATGAAGTAACGATAGATTAGAAGTCTCGCGACTCACTCAGCTTCAGAGAGTAACCAGGAATTTACTGGAACCGAGAGTCGAACTCGGGACCTACTGCGTGTTAGGCAGTCGTCATAACCAACTAGACCATTCCAGCTACAGGAGCTGAATCATCTCTACCCCGAAATCGCGCTGCTAGTGTTCTTTCGCACGCAATGTGCTCTAGCTTAGCGCCGGATGTGTCACCCCAAGCGACACGCCTGATTTTATAGAGGCACGCCGATCGCTACGGTCTACGCTTTGAAGAGAAAATTTTGTAGGACCTCAATTCGCAATACGCTCTCTGAGTAAGTTGGCAATTGCCTCCGCGAGCAAATGATTCTCTTTCGTTGGAGGAGCTCGAGATCTTTAGGGTCGGCGTCGCGTCCGCTTTACACTTGCTGAGACGGGTCAGTTTGGCCGAGTGGTCTAAGGCGCCAGACTCAAGTTCTGGTGGAGAGATCCTCGTGGGTTCGAATCCCACAGCTGACAAGCAATAGTCTGTACTTATATTTCTGTTCTCCTTTTCTGGCGATAGATATACTAGCAGCTCCTTGTTTCGATCAAGGGACCTTTGGGTTATGAGCCCAACACGCTATCCACTGCGCCAAGCTGCTTTGACGGTGTAATATGCTTTTGGCACCCGTAAGGAGGTTGTTGCTAATAGTTCGAGTGTATGTTCAGCTGACGCCTATGCATCGTCCGGGAATTGAACCCGGACCATCTGCTTGGAAGGCAGATATCCTAACCATTAGACCAACGGTGCCCAACAAAGTGACGGTAGATTAGAAGTCTCGCGACTCACTCAGCTTCAGAGAGTCACCAGGAATTTACTGGAACCGAGAGTCGAACTCGGGACCTACTGCGTGTTAGGCAGTCGTCATAACCAACTAGACCATTCCAGCTACAGGAGCTGAATCATCTCTACCCCGAAATCGCGCTGCCAGTGTTCTTTCGCACGCAATGTGCTCTAGCTTAGCGCCGGATGTGTCACCCCAAGCGACACGCCTGATTTTATAGAGGCACGCCGATCGCTACGGTCTACGCTTTGAAGAGAAAATTTTGTAGGACCTCAATTTGCAATACGCTCTCTGAGTAAGTTGGCAATTGACTCCGCGAGCAAATGATTCTCTTTCGTTGGAGGAGCTCAAGATCTTCAGGGTCGGCGTCGCGTCCGTTTTACACTTGTTGAGACGGGTCAGTTTGGCCGAGTGGTCTAAGGCGCCAGACTCAAGTTCTGGTGGAGAGATCCTCGTGGGTTCGAATCCCACAGCTGACAAGCAATAGTCTGTACTTATATTTCTGTTCTCCTTTTCTGGCGATAGATATACTAGCAGCTCCTTGTTTCGATCAAGGGACCTTTGGGTTATGAGCCCAACACGCTATCCACTGCGCCAAGCTGCTTTGACGGTATAATATGCTTTTGGCACCCGTAAGGAGGTTGTTGCTAATAGTTCGAGTGTATGTTCAGCTGACGCCTATGCATCGTCCGGGAATTGAACCCGGACCATCTGCTTGGAAGGCAGATATCCTAACCATTAGACCAACGGTGCCCAACAAAGTGACGGTAGATTAGAAGTCTCGCGACTCACTCAGCTTCAGAGAGTCACCAGGAATTTACTGGAACCGAGAGTCGAACTCGGGACCTACTGCGTGTTAGGCAGTCGTCATAACCAACTAGACCATTCCAGCTACAGGAGCTGAATCATCTCTACCCCGAAATCGCGCTGCTAGTGTTCTTTCGCACGCAATGTGCTCTAGCTTAGCGCCGGATGTGTCACCCCAAGCGACACGCCTGATTTTATAGAGGCACGCCGATCGCTACGGTCTACGCTTTGAAGAGAAAATTTTGTAGGACCTCAATTTGCAATACGCTCTCTGAGTAAGTTGGCAATTGCGTCCGCGAGCGAATGATTCTCTTTCGTTGGAGGAGCTCAAGATCTTCAGGGTCGGCGTCGCGTCCGTTTTACACTTGCTGAGACGGGTCAGTTTGGCCGAGTGGTCTAAGGCGCCAGACTTAAGTTCTGGTGGAGAGATCCTCATGGGTTCGAATCCCACAGCTGACAAGTAATAGTCTGTACTTATATTTCTGTTCTCCTTTTCTGGCGAAAAAATGACTAGCAGCTCCTTGATTCGATCAAGGGATCTTTGGGTTATGAGCCCAACACGCTATCCACTGCGCCAAGTTGCTTTGACGGTATAATATGCTTTTGGCACCCGTGAGGAGGTTGTTGCTAATAGTTTGAGTGTATGTTCAGCTGACGCTTATGCACCGTCCGGGAATTGAACCCGGACCATCTGCTTGGAAGGCAGATATCCTAACCATTAGACCAACGGTGCCCAATGAAGTGACGGTAGATTAGAGGTCTCGCGACTCACTCAGCTTCAGAGAGTCACCAGGAATTTACTGGAACCGAGAGTCGAACTCGGGACCTACTGCGTGTTAGGCAATCGTCATAACCAACTAGACCATTCCAGCTACAGGAGCTGAATCATCTCTACCCCGAAATCGCGCTGCCAGTGTTCTTTCGCACGCAATGTGCTCTAGCTTAGCGCCGGATGTGTCACCCCAAGCGACACGCCTGATTTTATAGAGGCACGCCGATCGCTACGGTCTACGCTTTGAAGAGAAAATTTTGTAGGACCTCAATTTGCAATACGCTCTCTGAGTAAGTTGGCAATTGACTCCGCGAGCAAATGATTCTCTTTCGTTGGAGGAGCTCAAGATCTTCAGGGTCGGCGTCGCGTCCGTTTTACACTTGTTGAGACGGGTCAGTTTGGCCGAGTGGTCTAAGGCGCCAGACTCAAGTTCTGGTGGAGAGATCTTCGTGGGTTCGAATCCCACAGCTGACAAGTAATAGTCTGTACTTATATTTCTGTTCTCCTTTTCTGGCGAAACAATGACTAGCAGCTCCTTGTTTCGATCAAGGGATCTTTGGGTTACGAGCCCAACACGCTTTTGGCACCCGTAAGGAGGTTGTCGCTAATAGTTCGAGTGTATGTTCAGCTGACGCCTATGCACCGTCCGGGAATTGAACCCGGACCATCTGCTTGGAAGGCAGATATCCTAACCATTAGACCAACGGTGCCCAATGAAGTGACGGTAGATTAGAAGTCTCGCGACTCACTCAGCTTCAGAGAGTCACCAAGAATTTACTGGAACCGAGAGTCGAACTCGGGACCTACTGCGTGTTAGGCAGTCGTCATAACCAACTAGACCATTCCAGCTACAGGAGCTGAATCATCTCTACCCCGAAATCGCGCTGCTAGTGTTCTTTCGCACGCAATGTGCTCTAGCTTAGCGCCGGATGTGTCACCCCAAGCGACACGCCTGATTTTTATAGAGGCACGCCGATCGCTACGGTCTACGCTTTGAAGAGAAAATTTTGTAGGACCTCAATTCGCAATACGCTCTCTGAGTAAGTTGGCAATTGCCTCCGCGAGCAAATGATTCTCTTTCGTTGGAGGAGCTCGAGATCTTCAGGGTCGGCGTCGCGTCCGTTTTACACTTGCTGAGACGGGTCAGTTTGGCCGAGTGGTCTAAGGCGCCAGACTCAACTTCTGGTGGAGAGATCCTCGTGGGTTCGAATTCCACAGCTGACAAGTAATAGTCTGTACTTATATTTCTGTTCTCCTTTTCTAGCGAAAGAATGACTAGCAGCTCCTTGAATCGATCAAGGGACCTTTGGGTTGTGAGCCCAACATGCTAACCACTGCGCCAAGCTGCTTTGACGGTATAATATGCTCTTGGCACCCGTAAGGAGGTTGTTGCTAATAGTTCGAGTGTATGTTCAGCTGACGCCTATGCACCGTCCGGGAATTGAACCCGGACCATCTGCTTGGAAGGCAGATATCCTAACCATTAGACCAACGGTGCCCAATGAAGTGACGGTAGATTAGAAGTCTCGCGACTCACTCAGCTTCAGAGAGTCACCAGAAATTTACTGGAACCGAGAGTCGAACTCGGGGGCTACTCCGTGTTAGGCAGTCGTCATAACCAACTAGACCATTCCAGCTACAGGAGCTGGATCATCTCTACCCCGAAATCGCGCTGCTAGTGTTCTTTCGCACGCAATGTGCTCTAGCTTAGCGCCGGATGTGTCACCCCAAGCGACACGCCTGATTTTATAGAGGCACGCCGATCGCTACGGTCTACGCTTTGAAGAGAAAATTTTGTAGGACCTCAATTCGCAATACGCTCTCTGAGTAAGTTGGCAATTGCCTCCGCGAGCAAATGATTCTCTTTCGTTGGAGGAGCTCGTGATCTTCAGGGTCGGCGTCGCGTCCGTTTTACACTTGCTGAGAGGGGTCAGTTTGGCCGAGTGGTCTAAGGCGCCAGGCTCAAGTTCTGGTGGAGAGATCCTCGTGGGTTCGAATCCCACAGCTGACAAGTAATAGTCTGTACTTATATTTCTGTTCTCCTTTTCTGGCGAAAGAATGACTAGCAGCTCCTTGTTTCGATCGAGGGACCTTTGGGTTATGAGCCCAACACGCTATCCACTGCGCCAAGCTGCTTTGACGGAGTAATATGCTTTTCGGCTAAGGAAAAAATCGCACGCCGAAGGAAATTTCGCTCGCCGCGCGTGAAGTGGAGAGTTTCCGTCCTTTCCGGTCCCATTCTTTCCTGTTACAACTCTTTCCTTTCCCGGAAACTTTGTAACGATCCTTTCCGCTCATCAACCACCCTGGCCTCCGACTCCGAGAGTGTGAATAAGTCACAAGAGAGCTCTCTTGTGACTTACTGTGGTGTGGGCCAGTTGGTGAGAGGACGCGATGAGTCACGTTACATGACTCATGTACAGTGATCGCCTGAACTTCAGGCCCTGAAGCGCTGCTCCTATTTGTGAGAACCAGTTATCAGCGCGAATTCGGCAGTTGAACGTGTTCTACCGCTCAGAGAAAGTGCTGGCAGATCATCACCGCTCGCGGCGCCTCCGATCATATCGCGTCCCGGTGACCATGACTCTCGACTTCAACACAATCGTCGCCAGTAAGGTGAGAATGGAAGAGAAAAGACAAAATAGAATTGCCTCCTTTACGCCTCCCACTATGTGAGGGACCTTCACTGAAGGATTAACCGTAAGAGAGACATCACCAGGGATACCGTTCTCAGCCCCTGACGGAGTCTCGAATCATAAATTAATCGAGTGAAGTTGTTGAAGTATCCACGCTACAGCGGATCCATAACAATAAGTGGTATGAAAGTCGGGTCATAATCTTTCGAAATCCGGGCTCGATCTAAAGTTTCTAGAAGCGGAAATAGGACTTCCGAGTGGCTTTGTTGCACTCCAGCTCTCACAAATCATACCGGACCACTTGTGCTTCTTTTAGCGTGGAAAGAGATATAAAATGTTGAAGTTATGGAGAGAAAAGATCAGACTAAGTGAATCCTGCCTCCTGATCAGATCGAGTTGGTCTGATCATGTGTTGCCTCAACACCAATCACACTACTCCTTGAACATGCATGCGTGGTACTCCGCGAGTTTTATGCAGGATCCCCCTTCCAGGCAGTCCTGAGTACACGTGACTCACGTGGAGTGGGACAATAACAAGCGCTGCCCTCCTTACCGAGTTCTCCCTTGCAGTTCATGGCGCAGACTTGAGGAACTGCAAGGCATGTCGGGGTTCCTTTCGGTGGCGTGGGGCAATCACTGGTAGATTCACAGTCGCTCGCACAGACGGACCAATCGACTTTGAACTTTGAACTTTGAGACTGAGAGCATCGACTAGGGGCGACTCCCAAGCTTTCGACACTTACTATAGCAGAAAGCATGTCGCTAGTCGTGCACTGGCAGCCGACAACCGTACGAGTCGGCGAGAGACGGCATTGTCCCACAGGCTTCTCATAATTTCCTCCTGAATTTATACAGCATAAGCACGCATACTCAGTACGCCATAGTATGGCGGTCATACTAGGTGTCAAAGGACCCTTACCTTCGCCTTGGTTTACCGGGCTCTCGGAATCCCGCCGAGGTATCGAGAAGGAGGCTCACCATTCTGAGATCACGACATGATAAGCTTCTACGGAATGGTTCACATACACGAACCAACCTCCGTTCTCCGGGTCCAAGGCGACTCCAAGTTGGCATACAATGGAGAGGATCCCAAAGGTGGTGGCGTTCATGATAAGTGGGCTTTGGGTCACTGCGATTTTTCGTAGTAGGATGTGAATGGCTAAGCTTTAGCCTATAGTAAACGCAAGCCACCGTACACGTGCACTGCAACTCAGTGCAGCGTGACTATTTGAGACGGGGCTCAAACTTTGAGCCTCAAAGGACGGTGAAGCCGGACTCGCGGAAAGACTCCCCAGGGGAGTTGATCGACGATGAAAATTTATAGCGTAATCTAGAACGCATATTCATGCACGTGAATTCATTGGAGTCGGTGCAAGGCGCACAATGCATTGCGTACGTACACCCTTACCCATTGTGCTTGAGAATCTCAAGTTGATATCGGACAATAGGATCTCGTATACAAGGATCCTTTGTCGGACACTCTTCCACAGCGCAGCACAGACCTCAGGTCCGAGACATGTCCTTCAATACGCTCGCAACAATGCGGCTATCGCAAAGTACCAAGCCTCCCTTGTATGCGTGCACAGCTTGTCCTACTTATGACTTCAGGGAAACACTATACTGACTTTTCTTCATTTACGTTGACTATGGGCCGCTGATGACGAGCGACAGTCAGGATGCAACGCTCTCAAGGAACCACTTCCGATGAGGAGTGCCTCCTCACGACTCCTACTGTCAGGCGCCATACCAACAAGGGCGCTCGCCTGGAGCTGTCCCGCTTAGCATGGAAAGGGAGTAGAATCGGTCGGATATACTGGCAAAACCTGGTAAAAATGCAGTAATCTCACACATTAGCCCAGCTCTGCGGGAGTCGCAGCTGACGTAGTCGCCGTGGAGGCCTTGTATGACGCGGTCAAACGGTGGACGGGGACTTCGGCTGGGAGCACTAGGGGATCCAGCTGTCTCCGATACGCGAAACTGACCAACTCGCGCAACGCGGTTTCGCGCTGCGAAGACGCAGAGGAGCATTTCCTTCTACCCTCACTGAGGATTCCTCAGTGGCTGTCATCCGCCGGAAGAGTATCATAACTGAAGCAAGCCCATGCTTGGTACCACTCTTCTTCAGCAAGGCCATCCTATGTCTTGTCTCCCATCATAGGAGTCCTATGTCTAGCAGCTAGACTCTAGCTTCAACGAATACCTTGAATGCTCTACGTGATCGAGGACAGCGATCAACTTGAAGCCTGCCGAAATGTTCTGTACGTGGTCGCCCGTACAACAGACCTGGTATGGTATCGCCTATCATTCCCTCGTAATTAAGCTCTGAGACTGTCGTTGGCATCGATTTCCGGCGGAATATGGACCTCCGTCCTGGAGAGAATGATCGTGTCGCTTTTAGTGGGTGCTTGAGGAGACGCATAGAGGGGATTGCACTTTCCTTGACAGATTCAGATCGCCACTGCTGCTGATGGCGTCTTCCTTTTCCGCCCCAAGCAAGGGCGTTACAGTGATGCTGCCACCGAGGTTCTCCCGAAGCCAGGTAGCCGCGATATCGACACCCAGAGCTGGAAATGATCCACCGGTTGATAAGTATTTCCCTCAGAGAATCAGCAAGGTCTGTGTAAGACACGTCAGCGGTGACAAGAGGAAACTGGCGGACATGGGCATCACCATCTTCCCAGAGACTCTAATTGATATGGTCGAGCATGCTAAGAAGCGCGGCTTGATAATCCCTGGTTTCGTCGGGATCTGCGCTTCTGTGGGGTACAAACTCCGCAAAATCAAAAGTATGTAGATGAGCATGATGCTCAGAGCATTCCTGCCTACGAGCGTACTGGATGCCGTGCGTTCAGGGATCAGCTGGTCGGCAACTGGAATCAGCTCCGCTTGAGCTCCGAACAAATTCAGTACGCTGCCAACGACGCGTGGTTCCTGCCCTCGTAGCCTGCTTGTGGGGACCCTCAAAGCCGATGTAATACGTCTCTGTCCAAGGGGTGGGCCAAAAGTCACTTTTGAAAAAGTGGGAAGAATGGATCATTCTTTTCGGATGGGTCATCCTGTTCTCTGCCCAGGCGCCGACTGCTTCCTGCGAGTCGCAGAACGCACTTACAGTACCTGTCTTCAGGATGAAATCCTTTCGAAGATGAAGAGCATGGTCTCTTGAAAGTCCCAAGTTACGACTGCAACTGCGTCTCGCAGAATCCTTGGAGACTTGTGAACCATTGAGATAGAACCCACTGCGAGTCACACGCAAGGATAGAGTATTAAGTTGATGAGAAGCATCATGCTTCGGCATGATTGACTTATTTTTTTCTCGAGCACATGAGTTTAAAGAGTCTTCATTCCCCCTTTGTGTTGGGTTGAAAGCGGGACGATCGTGTTTGAAACGTTGCTCTGGACCGTAAAACAAACGCCGGAACACTTCGCTCAGGGCGTCTTTCTCCGGTGGATACCATGGTCTAAGGCGCAGACTCTTCTCTACGTGCTCCGGGCGTCCGCGTACTACACTGTATAACGTCGTCATTGAATTCGCCCCCTCCCTCAAGAGAGGATGAACCTTCATCGTAAGCATCAACGCGGGGCACTCTGGCGACGAGCTGCAGACGCTCGTCGGAACTCGTGCCCGCTTGCCCTTTGTGATAGTCATACGGTTGCGTCGTCGAACTCGAAATTCAGGACTTATTAACTCAAGGGCCACGAAGCTCCTTCAACTCGAACCCTCGAGTGCGTACAGGTTGCAGGAGCCTCGTGGCCGAACTAGCTTCGTGGAGTTCGAGTCTCGAACTAGGAGTCGAGACTGAACGATCACGAGGTGTTCGTGAACGCTTCTCGAAAACCTTAGGATTCAAGCTACCAGGACCTTCTCCTCATAAGTTCAGGTCTTCTATTGGCAATCCGAGAATCTCATTGCGTGGCTTCTAATAGAAGCTCAGGATTCTCCGCGTGTGAATCATCACCGCCTCACGTGAGCCAGTGTTTTCCAGCCCTCGAGCTCACAGTGA